GGTTTCTTGCTATTTTTATTAACAATGACTTGCTTTCTTATTGATTGATTGATTGATTGATTGATATACAGTTTATTTATTTTATATTCATTCACTGAGCATCATGACAGAACACAAAATGTTATTTCCCATCCAGAATACAGTGTATATTGAAACAGTCACAGTATATACTTATCTAAAAATCAGTAATTTAAAAGAGATTTACCATTAATAAAGGCCAGCACTATATTAGCCAGTTTGATTTGCTTTATGGAGTATAGTCTTTCACATCAAATAAGAGAAACAAAAGGGAAAAATTCCAAATATTTTGTAACTAACCCGATCTTTACCCAAGCACCATACTCATATTTTTGTCTGAAATAACTGTTAACTCTGGGTACACAGCTTATTATCTCTGTGTCTCATTTTATAATTGGGATAATAATAGGATCACTGTGAAGATGAAATGAGTCAATATATATAAAGTACTTAAAATAGTGAGTGACACATAGTATATTGCTATATGGGTTTCTTGCTATTTTTATTAACAATGACTTGCTTTCTTATTGATTGATTGATTGATTGATTGATATACAGTTTATTTATTTTATATTCATTCACTGAGCATCATGACAGAACACAAAATGTTATTTCCCATCCAGAATACAGTGTATATTGAATTAATCATACATGTTATTGTCAAATAATTTTCCATTTCTTGTTTCATATATATATATATATTTCCCTCTATTTTTCACCCTCTGCCATTTCTCGCCCTCCTCCCACACTATCTCTGGTGTCTGCAGTTGCCTTCCATTCCTTATTTCCTCCCCACATTTTATTGAATCACAAAACTTCTTAATTAATCTAACTATTTTCAATAGCAAATTCAGCTGATGTATGCATATCTGTGAACATAGGTCTGACTTGAGGCATGAAACTCTAAGTAGAATGAATATACTATAAAGGAGCACCTAGCTGATGCTATATAGCTTACTGCCATCATTAAAAAAGGTACTTTTAAATAAATATTTTAATTTCAAGGAAAGCAGTTTTAACTTTAACAAATCAAAATAAAAAATGTTAGTGACTTGCTTTCTTAAGTAATATGAGCTAAGTTTTCTCTCTTAGTCTTCCAAGAGATGGGAGATTTCCAGGCTGTGTCTGATCCTGTGTAGTCATTGAATTTCCTTGTGTGTTTTGGGTCTAGGCTAAAAAGGACCAGGCCCAAAGCACACCACTACATATTTCCTATTTACAGTATAATGTTGAGTAAACTCTCTTTAGCTTCTTCATACCAAAATCTGTCCTGCTTCTGACTTCATAACTATTGGAAATGCTGACAGTAATTCTTCTGTTTTCATTTATATTTTATCCTTTAGGCTTAATTTACACCACTGTTCTGTCAGATACCTTAGCTTCTTTTATTAAAATACTGTTTTCTTCTCTGCTTTAGCCTAAGAACGAGGCGGACATGGCTGCTGTTTGGATATAATTTTTTGTTTCTATAATGGTAGCATGGTCTGTCCCTTAGCACCAGTCTGATACACATCTAGCACTCCTTCCACTCCAGCCACCTCCTCTCCTTCCTCTCTCCGCCCCTGCCTTACAATACCACCCTCTGTTCCATCTTTTAGCATTGACCCAGCTTTGAATAGACTATAATGTCATATTCAGTCCTACACCTGGTAAGCAGCTTTCACAAATAATGAAAAGCTAGGAGATTAAAGCACTCACCATTGCCCAGTTGGTATCTTCATTTTTAGCAAATGAGCTAGATGCTAGTTGCCATGGTTTTGATTAGAGACTCTTAGAGGAAGTAGCATTTTACTTGCTGCTAGAGAGGTGTAAGAAGAAAGAGGAGATTGTAGGGGAAGCTTGAAGCTTAGGATTCTTTCTTTAGCTAGCACTTGAATATTGTATCTACTGAGGATACAAAAATTTAGGTCCTATTCATCTCTCAATGATCATATAGTGACGAATAATGCAGCAGTTGAAAGGAAAGGGGCATTGCTGAAGATTGGAGAAGATTTTGTCTGTACTCACTCTACAGAATCTCCCTGGGTGATTTCATGTATTCTCTTGAGAATCTTACAGCTCATCATAACAAAATCCCATTGATGATGGAATATACAGTGATTTCCTGTCTGAGACTTTACAAATATTGTTCCTTGTGCTTGGAATAGTATTAACAAGGCTAATTTTTGATAATTCTTAAAATATAATCATAGAGGTAATAACTTTCAGAAAAATGTTCAACACTGTTAAGTGTTCCTGTGATTGTATAGTCCCGGTTCTTTTCCAGTCTTGGCCTTTATTGCACTGTGTTGTAACTGCAAGAAAAATAGGAACTGCATATGTCACAATGTGCAGTGTGTGACTATTTTTTGGTTGAGTGAATAACATGATGTGATAGAGAGAAGAGCTGATCATTTCAGCAAAGAAAAGAGGGTGAACCAAAGCAAAGAATATGGTATTAAATATGGGTATTAAATATGGCTGATTCTGAAGCAATGAGTAGAACCATTGACTAGAGTGTAATATTGAGTAGAACCAATGACTAGAGTGTAACATTGAGAAAGGAGACTGGAACTTTTAATATCATATTAGGAAGTCCAGAGTTTATTGAATAAGAAAGGACCATTGAAGCTTTTAGAGATAAGGAGAACCATACATGGTCTCATTAATTTGCTTAACTAATATGCCTGTGCATGATAAAAAAATTTTCTAATTTTATGTTAATGTTTTTATAATACTCTTGAATGGATTAAACATATGGAAAGTGTCTATTTTTTAATAGACTTTTTCCTTTCTTTTAAAATGGTTCCAATGTAATTTATAGGAACATTTAGAAAATTTGAATGAATGCTGTTGAATGAATCGGGACTGTCATTAAACTTTGCAGTTTGTTTTATTATAAACTAAACAGTTTTGAACTATGGCAATTTAAAAATATAATTCAAATAAAACAGCAATCTAACTTATGTATGGGAGTTTCCTTCTTATTTGTAACTTCAGGAAAAATAAATGCTTACAGCTGTGACTTTTTTTTTCCTCTAGTATCTCCAGAGGCAGTTGGATTTTTGTCAGCTGTTGGGGTGTTTATTATCTTGATGCTGCTCCTTTTTCTCTATATTAATAAGAAGTTCTGTTTTGAAAATGTTGGCGGGTTTCCAGATCTTGGTTCAGGATACAGTACAAGGAAAAATTCACAAGATAAAATCTGTAAGTATCATATCACTGCATATTGTTTTTTTAAATTCATGTTATTATTTGCTTATTCTAATATACAAACAAAGATTGGTTTTGACATAGTTTACTTATTCTAATACACAAAAAAGGCTGGTTTTGACAGAGTAATATTTGAGCCACTATTCTATAAAAGATCTACTATTAAATAAATTACGTCCAGGTATCCCTCTGTTTCCTAGGAATTGCTAAGGTATTACATAAAGGTAAATTGTCTGCTATCAAAAATAACTTTTTCATATATAAAATAGGCTGTTGGGTGCATAATATGAGCAGGTATGCCTTAGGAGGAAGAAGGTATCTTGATACTTTACATAGCACAAATACATTGTCCACAAAGCTCTCTAGAGAGATATTCCTCAAACAGAGAACCGTTTGAAAGAACTGTTTTCACCTTTTTTTCTTTACCTGCCATTTCATTGTCAAGAAATGGATACTTTTATTGTTTGGAGGAAATGAGTTTCCCTTGTAACTTAGTATATAGATGAATTCGATTTATAAAGAGTAATGTTCCATTTCCCCACTTGGTACCGTAGCCATCATATTATCAATAGTTTTACTAGCAATTAGGAAAGATGAGGCATGATACTGTTCTCTCCCTTTCAGAAACATTTTTCTGGGATTTTTAAAAGTTATATGTTTATTTCCTTTATGAATGAGAGAGAGAGAGAGAGAGGCAGGGTCTTGACACTGTGATCCATGGCAATCCCAGCCTTAGCCAGGCTGGAACTTCACACACGTGTGCCCGGTGTGCTTGGGAAAGTCTCCAAATGTGAACCCCCAGCCTTCCCGTGTTGATAGCCTTGCAGAGCAACACATTTTACTACTGTACCACCCTATGGACCCATTTTTGTTTTTAATTATTACTGTAGTTTATTTACTATTTCTAGAGAATGGTTTATATAAATGATAGCAAGAACAAGCTGAGAATTACAAAAGCAAATGCTATTTTGCAAATCTTATTAATAGCTAGCTGAATTCTGATATCCACTTCCATAATCCATCTGTCATGTAGTTCCTAGAAAACCCAAATATCCACTGGTGAACAAAAGAGAACGATAAAGTGAAATATCCTCCTGCTACTATCATTATGAAACTCATTTTGATCTTAAGGAGTCCTTGGAAAGATCTCAGGGGCTTTCTTAATTTTTCTGAGCCATATTTTTCTTTCACTTATGAAATAGGAATGATAACACATAGCTCCTAGAGCCATTGTAAGATCAAATAAGATGAAATATGTAATCACAGTGCCTTGCTTGTAGTAGCCCCCTAGCAGGTGTGCACACTGGCTATCCCTATGCAAAATTGTGCTGTGATATTCTCCCTTTAGTATTTTAACTAACTCAAAATGATATTGGTAGTTTGTTAATACAATAGAATATTTTTCTTATACAGAGTACTAATAAGTAAACTAAAAGTACATAATAAAAATCCTTTTTATACTTCTTCTTTCAGGAATAGAATTTAAAATTCAATAGTATTTGAGGGAAAATCTTGTCTTGCTGCTATTATGATAGCTATGGAGTGGGAAAAATGTAAATTTTTAAACCAAGTGGTTTGATTTCTTTTTTATTTTTCGGAAGAATCTTTACTTCAACATATTTCTCCCAATGCATGATGCATTTACAAAAAGATTAAAAGCCGCAACCTGAAATGCTAATATTGAGCTGACATTACATGTTAAATTCAAGTTCCAAAGTGGTTGATATTTTGAGAAGAGAAAATTCCATTCTTGCACATTTTAGGAACAAGGAATTAGAATATGGCATTTTTCAAAAATTTTCAGCCGAATCTGCCCTCCGTGTCCTCTTTGGTGGACACAATCAGTAGTGCTGTGGAAGACTTGACCTCTGCTGTTGGGGAGGTCAGCTATGCGTTCACGGACTCCGTTGCCGAGCAGGTAGCAAGTATGATGAATGGCTTCCGCCCAGAAGAAGCAAGCTCTGTGGCAGAAGTGGCTGTGGATACTTCTCAACCAACAGCTGCCACATTACCAGACGTCTTTAAAAACAGTCATTGTCAGAAAACACAACCCAATTTAGAGCACAGAACAAAGCAAATACATTGTTCCAATACTTCAGTTTCACAAAATCAAGACCAAGGAACGCATGAAGAAAGATTATTGAAACATATTAATGATAGGCAACAGACTCTACCAGAATGTCAAGAAACTAGTAATGCTGGTGATTCTTCTTGGAAAGACCACATGAGTGATCGTGGGGTGTCTGTTATCAGGCTAGATTCAAGGGCTGGATCTACTTGTCACAGACTTGAAAGTACTGGCAGAAATAAAACAATTGGACTAGGAATCTCCAGTAATGGTAAGAAGGATTTAAAAGAGGTAAGAGATCAAGAAAGGAAAGAAAATCAGAAGAATACCAATGGAATAAACATACTCTATGAGCGTAAAGATGATATTGCTGCAGATGGTCATAAAATAGAAGACTGTACAAAATACCAACATGTAGTTTTGAGAGGTGATCAAGAGAAAATGGTCCATTTCAATACAAATAAACATCTTATTGATTTAGGGCATTCTGATCATTTAAAGAAAGCTGGAAAACATATTAAAAGTAAAGGATTCAAAGGGAATGAGTGTTCAGGAAGTGAATGTTCTCCAAAAGATATTTTGACAAGTAATAGACGTATGATTCAGAAACCCATTATAAAAGAAGACATCTATCCAGCACCATCAACTAATATTAAACATAAGTTACCTGAAAAAATAAAAGAACAAATGAATCCAACAAAATGCTGCAAAGTGAAAGGAAACATAAAAACAAAGAAAAATGAAACCATTTATGCCAGGAAAGGATCAACAAAGAGTAAAGATGAAAATTATTCTAAGATAATGCGAGAAAAAGGTGAGGTCTCCTAATCCTGGTTTGAGTGATTACATTTTCTTGATTTTTTTTAAATGAAGAAAACTCATCCAGATCTCTCGACTTTCCTATATGTGTCTATGTACCTCATTTAAGATTTGCTTCAATCTTCTACTGGGAGACATTTTTAAAGTCATCCAGTTTTTTTTCCTCCACAATAATTTAAAGAGCATTTGTGTTATTTATACACCACTAAGTATTGCCACAGGTCCTTGAGTTATTTGATCAATTTTCAGCAGCCCTAAATTATTCTTTTCATTTCCAGAGAGACAGACAGAAAGAGAGGAGAAAACAGCTCCCAATGGAGTGTGGTCAAGCCACAATTTCATCCATTTCTCCATCCTCTTGGGGTTTGGGGGATACACGCACATGTGCCTGGTGTGTTTTCAAGCTGCTAGGACCAGGATTCAAACCATCATCAGCCATGTGGGATCCAGGTCCCTTAATCACTAGGCTATGGGGCCAACCCCCACTCCCAGTTTTTAAATGTCCTTTTATTTTGTAACCATAAACTTTATGGTTTTCTTAAGTAGTCAGAGTTGATTTGGTGTGCTCTAGTTGCATTTGAAAATTTTACACTTTTTTCACTGAATCCTAAGTCCCTTATTCTTTGAATCTATCCTAATAAGTCCCTTGTTCTTATCCTAATAAGGATCTACATAAAATATTTTTTCTTGTGAGCAGATTTTATTGAATAGCATGCTTCAAGATATGTATATATTTATTTGGCTATACATTAAAAAATTTTTATGACTACTCTAGTTTACAGTCAGTATACATGAACAACCTATTATTCCTGAGTTCTCTATGAAGAATTAGGATTCTGACTAAGCATGCATCATTTTCAACCACTGTAATTTGGTAATTTTCAAAATACTTTTAGCGGTTTATACAATTTGTAATTACTTCTTGTAATCTTTTAGCCATTTCTATTTATTGCTGATCTGATCAAAAGGACAAAAGTACACTGGTTTTTAACTATTAAACATAGATCCAGGATTTTTCTGTAAATTCAGAGTCTCATAAAATAAAAATTGAGTGGCTGTATAAATGAGGAAGACTTTTTTCAATTTGCTGCCGTGACTGTATACATAATAGGAATTACTACTTGTCAATCATATGTATGTTTCTAAATGATACAGGAGAGGTTGACATAGGATGGATAAAGTAATTGAAAAAAAATGTCAGCTATTAAAAATGCACCCATTTTGGAATCTATTCTTCTAGCAATTTTTTGAATGTCAGATTCAGTGATTTTTGGTAGCCCTGACTTAATTCTGGTAGCAAATATAAATAAATAGAATTAAGTAAAATAGTTTATATTTTGCTATATTTTATTGAGAAAATGGTAGAGTGGGAACTAGAGATAAATACGTTAAAAGTAGCAGTACAGGGTTTTTAAATGAAAAAAAAATTTTTTTCCCTAGGTTTTTGCTCTAAAGTGTTTGTGCTTGCCAGACAGAGATTGAGAGAGATAGAGAAAAAGAAAGTGAGAAACCACTCCCTGGGGGGTGGCTACTCCATAGTCTCTTCTCCATTCTTTTCTTGGGATTTTTGGACACCCACGCACATTTGCCTGGCATGATTTTCAGGCCTTTGGATCCAGGACTCAAACCACTGTCAGCCATGTGTGAGTCCAGTGCCTTAACCACCATGCTACCTGCTGACCCTAGGGTTTTGGGGTTTTGTTTTTAGGAGGTTTTTGGGGACCAGTAGATAGCATAATGTCAACCACAGTTTGAGTCCCAGACTTGGTGGCTTGAAACTCACACTGGGCGCATGTGCATGTGCACCCAAAATCCTGAGAGAAGACTGGAGAAGAAGGGATTTTGGCATGGTCATCTCCCCCTACGGGATTATTTCTTACTTTCTGTCTCTCTGTCTCTCTCTGTCTCTCTGGTGAGCTCATGCACTGTATAGCAAAAATCTCTTTTTCAAGGGATTTTTGACATAAGACAACTCGCTGGAGAGACACAGAAGGGGAAAGTAAAAAATCATCACCCCCCTGGGGGAATGGCCTTGCCAAAGTCCTTTCTCCTCCATTCTCCTCCTGTTATCTTAGGCATGCATGCACATGTACGTGGTGTGATTTTCAAGCCACTTGCTCCAGGACTCGAACCTCAGTCAGTGATGTGGGAGTCCAGCAATGTAACCACTATGCCATCTACTGGCCTAGGTTTTAAATTTTATTTTTATTAAGAAGCTTGCTGATACTGAAAGAAGCCTAATATCTCTCAAGTATTCTGGAGTATAAGTGCTAAACTTAAGCATGCTATGTTCTAAAAACCATTTTGAAAGTTGTTTGACATATTAACCCTTCATTTAGTTGAACTATAACTTACTAGGACCTGTGTTTAGTTTTACCATAGGAATTATAAGATATAGAAAGATGAGGAAGAGTTTTCTTCTCTGCTCATGAATGCAAGACAACTTTAGGTAACACTTTTGTAGTAGGTGAGGTTTGACCGTGGAATAGTTATCCTCTCTAAGGGTCTCAGGGCCTTCCTCTGCCATAACACCGCCCCGTAGTATCCCACAAAGCGCTCACTGCTCTGAACTGGGAGTGAGAATGCCTTGGTTCTAGGTGGGCTCTGCCATGGTCATCTCTGCACTGTCCTACGGAACTTGGTGCAGTGCTGGGAGTCCCGCACGTCTGCGCTGCTCCAATCCGCAAACGCTGGACACACGTGGCTGCTGAACGCTTGATATGTGGCTAGTAACCTGGGGAACTAGATTTTAAATCTTATTTCATTTTAATTAGTTTAAGTGTAAGTAGCCACTTGTGACTGACTCTTGGTCACATACTAAGCATTGCAGAATGTGACATTGGGTATAGCATTACCCTTTTATGCTTTATTTTACCGAATTAAAAAGTGAAACTCAGGTGTCATCTACACTTCTTACTTTTAACTCTAAGCATTCCATTTCTGTCTTGTGGTTTAAAATGACTTATGCTGTGCTTCCTCAACCAAATTTCAACCTTGATTCCTTTACTACAGATGACTTCAGTTCAGTAGAAAGAGAAAATAACCAGATTGAACTAATAAATTCTTATTGCTGTGGTCTCTTTACCTTTTTTAGAGCTATTTCATAATTCTAAGGTTATTGCATCTTGGTTTAAGTGTCTCTCAATATGGTGTAGTTGTAAAATGTTTACCTTTTTTAAAAAGTGGTAATAACTTTAAAATCATATAAAATGCGTACCTCCTGAACAATTTGTTTGAAATATAAGTATTTGTGTAAAATTTTCCTAGTATTAATCGTTCCACCTTTCACAGGTAATATGTGTTAGCGATTTGGTATATATCCTTTCAGACATTTTTGTATGTGTGTGTGTGTATATATATATATATATACACCACATGTATGTCTGTGTATACAGTGCATGCTGGTTTGTATATATATGTTTATGTGTGTATATATGTATAGACCAATGTACACACACACACACACACACACACCCTTTTTCTCAACGTGATGTTGTAATTATTTTTTCCTTATGAATCCTTGTATATTCACCTTCTCATTCTTAATAATGGGATAGTGTATCACTACATAGAAATATCGTAATTTACTTAACCAAGGCCCACTGATGGGTATGCCAGTTATATCTTATTTTGGTTTTCTTTTGCTTTTAAGTGCAGTACGGTGAATTGATTCAAATGTATACCTCTAATCACCTGCTAATTAGTTTCTTAGACTGAATTCTTAGAAATGGAATTGGCATATTCTTAGAAATGGATTCAAGATTCTGCAGAGTTAAAAGTTTGATATATTTTGCCAAATTGCTCTCTAGAAAAGTTGTAGCAATTATAATTCCACCAATAGTTACATCTGCCCATTTCTCTGTTTCTCTGCTAGCACTTAGCATTGCCAGTTTTTAAACTTTTGGCCAAAACGAGAATCAAAAATGTGTCTTATAACATGTTACTTGAATCAGGTCCATATGTACTGGCAGTACTTAACTTCATTTGTGTGTTACTGATCCTTTTTTAAAATTGGGTAAAATGGCAAGCACTGTAATTCCTTTATAAGTAATAAGGTTGAAAAACCCCTGTGACTAACATTGTTTGTATAATTAGAATATACAAATTGATTTTTTGTATTAAAATATAAAAGTCTAAAGGTTAGGTTTCTTACTTGGAAAATAATTTATTTCTCTAAAGCTGAAAATCGAGGCTGTGTGTGTATATGTGTGTGCACGTACATGTACATTTGCATGTATCATGTATATATTTGTGTGTGCTCATGTATGCATATGTGTAAAACTTTAGCAAATTTGTCATACTTTATTGCATTAAAATGATCATATGCTCTCCCTGTCATTCCAAATAGATAATTCCTACATGGATAAAGATGAGCATGGCTCATCCTCTGAAAGTGATGACGAAGCATTGGGTAAATATCATGAGGCCTTATGCAGGACACATAATTCCAGACTACCATTGGCAGATTCTAGACAAAAGAACTATGCTTGGGAAACAAGACAAAAATACAGTCCTCTATCTGCTGAGTATGATGGATACAGTAGTGAAGCATCAATAGATGAAGGTAAGATAGGATATTTTATTTTTTTAAATGATGCATAGTAGTATTAGATTATTTGTGTCTAAAATTGGAGGCATCTGTAGTTGCACAGTAAGCAAGAGAGTACATATAGTAGAGTCTCACTTCTGGGAATATAATTTATTCTAATTCAGATCTTTGGCTCAAGCCAAAAATCAAAACCACTACCAAAACACCCAATAGCAAAACAACAAATAATTTAAATAATGTGATAATTGAGGCTCTCATTCCATAGTGAACATATGCCTCCTGAGGATGGGATGGAAGTTATGAATCTGCTGTTCTGTCAGATGGAGTTGGTTTTTGTATACGGGTTATAGGAATTGAGAGTCCCAGTGTCTCTCAGTATTGAATGTGATTCCAGTGTGTAAATGTGTGCTTTTCATTCAGTATGGCTCCCAAACGCCAACCAAATGCCTCGCAGGGTACACAGCAGAAGAAATGGTGATGTGCTTTGTATGGGAGGAAAAACTGAGATGGGCTTATTGAGAGTGGATTGAGAGTGGGCACTATATTAATTATACTGTGTTTTCAAGGCACTTAAAAGGATTTTAAAAGATTTCAATAATTCCAAGGATTATTTTGTTTCTAATTGATTTTGCCTTCTGTGTTGACCTTTACTTTAGAACTCAATCTATGTAGAAGATACACATCATTCTTACATATTTTTACATCTTTCTATAACATAAATAAAAAGGGTTTCTGGTTAACTTAAACATATTTAAGTATATGCTTTACTTGCTTGATAGAATCTATGACGACTCATAGTAATTATTATCTTTATAGCCAGATATGACGAAAAGGATAATATGTCTTAGACACCATTTTTATACACAAAGACAAACTAGCCATTATTTTGTAGCTGTGATTTTTCTTTTAGGGCCTGTTGCTACTGATGCCTCGAAATCCTAACCTAAAACATACCGTTGTCAAAGGCCAATCATCTCTTTTCATATTTAGCTTCATGCTAAGGAAAGATTGGTATGCCTCATTTTTATTTGTACTGACACAAAATTGGCATATTCTTAGAAATGGATTTGTGTGCTGACACACAAACATAAGTAGCAAATTAATCAAATATTGAATGATTACTAGGTAGAAGGCTCATTATGAGATACAAAGGAAAAAGTAAAAAAATATTATTCATTGACTCTACCATCAAAAATACCTTTCTAGTACTAGGGAAAATGGTACATGTGTTTACAAAGATAACTAATAACGCACAACAGTAAAGCCAGTCCCGTTTGTGTAACCCTCTGGCACATGGGTGGTAGAGGAGATAGGGAGAGGGTTTTAAAACCTAATCTTGGATATTATGGCTCTGTCTCTTAACACTTGGACAGTATTTTTATCATTTCTGGATTTGTTTCATTGTCTCTAAAGTGTTGGTAATACCGGCTTGGTAGGGTTGCCATGAAAATCAAATGATATATGTATGATATGGTTCTTAGCATAGGGTTTGGCACTTAACAGGTAAGTCATCAGTAAATGTGGTTGAAGTTGTTAGTGGTGCAAACAGTAATGATAATGATAAAGATTCGTAAGGAGCAAACCCTGAGTTTTTCTGTGACCCTGGGCATTTTCCTTCTTGCACATGCAGTTTAAGAGTTTTTGTTTGTTTGTTTGTTTGTTTGTTTTCTCCCATGTCTTCCCTCTTACCCCGTATTCCTCTGTGTCCTTATTACTTCTTTTTTATAGTACTGTTATTCTAGCACGGCCTTGTCGATTATGACCAAGAGCAGTGTGGAGAGAGATACAACCTCAGTGGCTCTTCCCATTTTGTCCTAATGTCTGAAACTGATACAGGTGTCCTAGAATCACCTTCTCATTTCATTTTACCTGTATGTTTAAGACCCATCCTGCCCTTTTTGTATACACTTCAACCCTAAGTTATTTAATGAAATCCCCAGGGTAGATTGGTCTTAGGTATTCTAAGAATAATTTCTTTCATAAACATGTGTTGGAAGCTTTTTGTTGCCATACACTATGCTGCATATTGTAGATATAAAATTAATCAAACAAGCTTGTTTCTCCCAAAGAGCTCACAGACTGGAGGAGAAAACCCAGTGAGTGTGTGTGTTATATGATATGCTAAAAGGCCTGATAGTTACAGGGACAAAGTCCTGCAGTACTGCAGAGATACAGAGGAGGAGATGACTCAGACTTTGGGAAATGGGGACATGGGGACAGCTAATGGCGTTTTCACAGAGTAAGTGAGCTGGATGGACACTTTGAGTGAATGCAGAACTATCTCACCAATAGCATTTGGATGAAGGCTAAGGAAAGTGTATTTCTGTGCCTATCACGTAGAGTCTGTGTGTGGTGCCTATCATGTAGGGTCTGTGTGTGGAGAAGGGGCAGGTATTCGGACTCACAGCCCTGCTCAGGAGTTTGGGTATAATCATATAGGAAATGTAGAGCCCTGGAAGGTTTTTAAGCAGGAAAATATGGCACTTTCAGATCAGTGCTTTTAAGAAACACTGTTTAACTATTGAAACAAAAGAGTTAGGAGTCAGAGCTACAGGAGGTGGGCTTCTAGAACCAGTTAGATAGGGATGAGGTCCTCATTTGTGATGGGTTGAGGGACAATGAATACTTAGATTTAGGAATGGCTTCAGTAGATCTTGGTGAATGAATGAGTGCAGTGAGTGAGGAATTAAGATATTTAGTTATGAGAGCATAGAGAATTGAGTTTGTGGAAGAAGATAATTTCATCTTGGTTGCTCCAAGTTTGATGTATTTGAATAACCAGGTGGAGATGGAAATTCGTGTTAAAATGGTGTCACTGGGTTTTCGGATGGACAGGGGATCATGATAATGACGAAAACAATAGAGAGGGAAAACAGCTTGTGTAGCACAGGTTGTTGCTTACTGAAAGATCAGAGCCTGAAATAGAGTCAGTGGAGTAGAGGAGGAACAGAATTTGATTATACAGGGAGATTACAGAGCTCAAGGTTATAGGGGAAAGCACTTCTCAAGTTCTAAACATATCCATAGGCAAAGATGCAGAAGAACACACAAACTGCTAGAAGATTTTAGAGAGGTCTCTGTAGAAGAAGAGCAAAACTAAGTTTCTTTCTTTCTTTCTTTCTTTTTTTTTTTAAGAGAGACATTTTTGTTATAGGGTACATGCGCTCACCAGAGAGACAGAAAGTGAGAAATCAACCCATAGAGGGGATGGCCATGCTGCAATCCCTCCTCCTACATTCTTCTTTTGGGATCTTGGAAATGCACACACATGTGTCCAGTGTGAGGTTTTTTGTTTTTTGTTTTTTGTTTTTGTTTTTGTTTTTGTTTTTGTTTTTTGGAGAGGTTTTTGCTATAGGGCACATGCGCTTGCCAGAAAGACAGAGAGAGACAGAGAGACAGAAAGTGAGAAATCACCTCCCCCCAGGGGGGGATGGCCACACCGCAATCCCTTCTCCTCTTGGATCTCCTCTTGGATCTTGGGCATGCATGCACATATGCCCAGCGCGAGTTTAGGCCACCAGGTCTGGGACTCTAACCACAGTCAACTACATGGGAGTCCAGCGACATAACCATTACGCCAACTGCTGGTCTGGCATCCGGTGTGAGTTTTAGGCTGCCAGGTCCAGGACTCAAACCATGGTTGACTACATGGGAGTCCAGTGATGTAACCATTATGCTATTTGCTGATCCCTAGAACTCAGTTTCTTTTATATGCTACCTACATAGATTACTACTGTGATCCCAAAATGTGTGGTGATTTCTCTCCACCAGCAAGGAAGCATTCAGCTCCATAGTAGACAGCAGCTGGGCATCCTCTGATCCAATTAAATTCTGAAGCTATCTACCAGGAGACAGTGTTGGATCCTGCAGATTCAGGGCTTAGTCCCACAAGACTGACCTCATTTCAGATAACAGTTATAAATCTGACCTCCAGAACTTCTGACTGACTAGCTACAAGTTGGAGTTCACCTCTCATTAGGCTCAATTAAATTCCTAAGGCAGGTCACAGAACTCAGGGAAACACATTTAACAGTTTATTATAAAGGATATTGTAAATATCCTTTATATTTATTATAAAGGATACAAAGAGTCAGATGAAGATACAGAGGACAAAGTCTGGAAGGACCCCAAGCACAAGAACTTCCATCCCCATAAAGCTGGGGCGTGCCACCGTCTCAGCACATGGATGAGTCTTGTCGCCTTTCTGCTAGCCTCCACATGGGTCAGCTGTCTAGAAGCTTTCTAGGGTTTGGGTATTCTATGAAAACTTCATTGCATAGGCATGACTGAAGCATGACCACTGTGCAGAAATGTGGCTGGACAAAAAGGGTATAACTCATTGCTGATAGGCTGGGGAAACCAGTGAGCCTCAACTGTTTACCTTCTCCCTAGCCTCTCTGTGAAGCCTTCCCTGAAATGAGTATCTTAACAATTTACTGTCACACTAACAGGTCATAGAATTTCTAGTGGCCACCTCCAAGTCAGAAAGTCAGGGGGAAATAATCTATTACTTGTTTTGGGGAAGAGACATAGGGAGAGTGTGATGTCATCTATTGAGAAAGGTGTGATAAAACTTGAGAGGCCAAATAGTGTTTGGGTCAAGTTTCTGAGAATAGGTACCAAGTTAGTGAAAAGACTAAGTAGAGGTATTTTAGATGGAGAAAATCTCATAAACCCTGAAGTACAAAGTGGTAAAATGTAGGGAATATTTCAGAACCAGAGAGAAGTCCACCTGACTTCATACACAGGATTTTCCAAAAGTTCATGGAAATGCATAATCTAAAAAAAACATCTATATGGATTTCAAAAAAGTTTTACACAAAAATAAACTTGTATTTTCATTCCATTTTTCTGCAGACTTTTTAAAGTCTTCTTGGGTGTGTTTTCTGCAGACTTTTTAAAGTCTTCTTGGGTGTATTTGTGCACGTGAGTGTGTGTGTGTGTATGTGTGTGTGTGAGGGAACAGGAGACGTGTGTGTGTGTGTATGTGTGTGTGTGAGGGAACAGGAGATAAA